GGCTTCTGGCATCAATGCCAACAGGTAGTGAGAGCTACAAACTATTCCAGTGGTGAGCAGGTTGTAACCCATCAAAATTCACCAGCTCACTGAACAGTAATGAAAATTTAAAATGTATGCAAACTAGTCTCCTAATTAAAGCTCGATAGTGTAAGGCTTTGAACCTGTTCATTGCCTTTGGAAAGCATCAAAGAAGAGAAGCAGGGTGCTTATCAGCAGAAGTTTTTATCATAAAAGGCCAGCTTCAGCACACTGCCATTCCACATCTTCACCATGATGGCAAGTCATAGACACAGACATAGTCAAAAAATATGGGCGTGAACAGAAAATATAGGAAATTCTCCTGTGTCACTGAAGCTTGTTCCCATCTGGTAATCAGAATTTGTTCCATGCAACTGAGGGATCTGGTTGCAGCTGTGTTGTTAAGATTCATGTTTAAACATCAAAGCAAAGTTAATTTTCCTCTACAGTTTGCACAACTTGTCACTGTTGAACTTCAGTGAGTTTAGCTATAAATTTTCATGTATTAGACCTATAAAAGGAGCTTCACTCCTCAGGTCCAATCCCTGAGACCTCAGCTCTAACCTGGGATATCTTGCCTGCTTATCTGTACTTGTTTACAAGCACAAGTACAAGATACTCCCATCCAGCTATGCTCTCTTCTTACAGTATCTCCCTACATGTAGCCAACATCACGTAAGCTTTGCCCTGCTACTAATGTCGGGGAAGACGTGTTAGTCTGGTGGTGAAAAACGGGGGAAGGTGAGTGTAGTGCCAGTTCAGTAGTGCAAAATTTATATCATTATTGTCCCTTAATTTTCTTAATCTCTGGAAAATTGCCAAGAACCCTTCTTTTGTGCCTGTGCATATATACAAAGATAAAGATTAGGTCCAAAATTACAACCTGATGTTGAATTCTTCACATCACCATACAGCATGATAGAAATCGATGCATTAAGTTCCATGAAGGGTCATGCTTTGTCTGATTTATGCTTAGTCTGTTTGTGGAATTTTTAATGTTATGTATCACAAACCCTCATAAAATGTCTCCATGTTTATTCTGATTGTTGCATTAAAAGAGAAATGATGGAAAGGGCAAGGAGCAAAAGTTTATTCTGCAATCCACATAACACTATACAGAAAGAAGGGCAATGAATGTCTCCTCAGACATCCTTTTGTAAGATCAGTGTTTAAAAGGCCAGTTCTTCGCTATGATGATGGGTTTGAATTTGCTCCCTATTTTTGGTTTTTTTTCAGTGCTCATTTTGAGAAAGATAGAATGGTTGGAGGTAAGAAACAACTCTCTGACAGTAAGACCCCCTAGAAGTGTCACGAGTTCAGGAATCCAGAAATTTAAGAACTTGTTTTCAAAACTATGTTTTGTTTCCTCACAAACAGTTATACTGAACTTAAAATTTTCCTCTTGAAAAATTGGTTCAAAGCAGCAAGACCATCCCCCTTTCATTCTCTGCAAAAAAGACTATCCATCAAAAAATCCTTTTTATTGCATTAACCTCAGTGTTAATCATTAGTTGACCATAGTGTAGGAATACCAGTCAGTCAATGAAAGATAGAGCTCCAGAAATGATCATCAGTAGGATGTCACTTTGTGTTTTTATTTACAAACAACAAATCTGAAAGCTTATGTTTCAGTTCTGCTTATGAAGGTCTCAAACAAGAAACCTCTGGGGTTTTGATGTGAACTCTGTCACCAAGGGGGGCAGGATGGAGACTGTCCCCTCCTCAGTCCCTGCTCAGGATTTTGTCTGTTGGACTTTCCTGACTTTAAGAGATGGTAGGCTTTTGACTTCTTTAAATCAGGTATAATAAAACCTTTCTTCCCAGCACTTTCATATTGCTGCTATTAGGGGCACACACCTCGTCATCTTACCCAGTGAGATTGACAGCAAGTGCCAAATACAGGGCATGATTCTAATGAGATTGGCCACCAACTAGTTTTTAAAAGCAATTTCTTTTCTGTACAACTCATCCCCATGGCAACTTACTACTGTGCAGAGGCTCATATATATTTGCGGCTGGTAGTTAAGTTCTGATTGTCTCTTAAAGATCAAAGGGTGATCTTTCATTTGGTGTTCATTTACAACAAATGGCAGAGTAATTCTTCCTTCCTAATGCATGAAGTAGGCATAGGATTTGCTAAACGTTACTCCATTACAGATGGCTACAGCTTGGTATTTAAATAACAATCTTTGCAAACAATTCCTAATTTGGGTGTGTTTCCCCATCAACAGTTGTTTTTTATTTTCAGCAAGTGTTACTTGTGTACTGAGGGATTAAGCCGAATCTGTCTCTGAGTGCAACACTAATGATCTCCTAAAGAACAAGATCACTCAGTCATAAAGAGTCGAGACCTTAGTCTTCTATTTGCTTTCTTCAAACTCTTTGCATTATGGGTGAGCTGTCTCCTGTGACCACAGCAATGTTGGCAGTTGGAGACAGAAAGAGACTTGTCCCTCTGTTATTAATCACAGATAATGTTGGCAACTGTTTTCATGTGTTTGAAGATTCCTCTACCGCAGCCTGATTCTCTGGGATCATTTCCTTGCATGGCAGGAAATTAGGTGAGGCATACATGCCTTCCTCAGGCTACAGGGTGTGGTGTTTGGTAGTTGTTGTGGAATATGAAGGGTCCTGTTGCTCAGTGTTATCACAGACTCTTACTGGCTGTATATTGAGAAAATTCAGAAATATAGTAAAAAGGGGATGCAGTCTGTTCACCTCCCCCATTTCCCCTCTAACAATGCCTTACTTCTAAAATCTACATATCTGTCCCCGTTGCTCCAGTATTCGAGCAATTGACAAGGAGGTTTCGTGTTTTATAAAGCTGTAAAGTCCTTCTAGTTGGCACAAACAGGTGAAGAGGGCTGCATGTGTCCAAAAGAACTCGAGGCATTCAAATGAATCACAGTCCTCCAAATTACCTGCCACTCCTGTTGGTCCCTGTTGGAGCACCTGAGCAGTCCTCATGGCAGAGAATTCTTGTGAGTTTAGACCAAATTTAGAGTGTTTAGACCAAATTTAGATTGTTTAGACAAAATTTAATGGGAGAGAGAAATTAAATTTTTTCAAATATTTTTGGTGAGTTTCTGGCCTAGGGAAAAAGAAAAAAAACACAATTTGATACATTTTTGTGAATTTTTCACAGGTATCACAGTCGTTAAAGGAGGTGTATATATGTAGTATAAACCAGTATAGTATTATTATTAAATTTGAAAGATATTTTTAGCACAGCATAAGAAACAAATGCAGAGACCGTTGCTGTTCAGTTATCAAAAGAGGTTTTTTGTTTGTTTTGTGGTTTTGTTTGTTTGTTTGTTTTTACCCAGAACATCATGGGCATTGCAGCTCAGATCTGAGAGTCTAAAATGTCTAAATTCATACTATGCCAATGGTTACCATTCCCTGCCATCATCTGTTTACTGAAAAAGGAAGCAAAATACATTGGTTTTAACTCAGGAATACACTTATACAAAGCTCTACAGATGCAATTTAGTACCTGCTTCTTCCCTCATGCTTGAGCCCTCAAACTTGGAAATGTCTGTCACAAGAGAAAAAGAATGAGGACTAATGCATTGTGATAGAGTTTGTGTTTTCAAAGAGGGAAATAGAAAACAGGAGGGAGGAGAAAGAAAATTCCTGAAATGACAATTACCTTTTAACTATAAAAAAATGGAGAAAATTGTGGAGACAGATATAGTGAAAAACCCACTCACTAGTAAAAACTAATTAAACATTTGCATTTCAGAGGTAAGTTTTTGTGCAGAACTTTGGGGAACAGCAGGTTGACAGTGAAGATTATTGACTGTAATTTGCTGAAGATTCTAAATAAGTTATTCGAAATATATGGAGGATTTAGTCAGCTCGGCATGGCTGCTTTATTATTCTTTTAAAGCAAGCAATTTATAACTGTTCTCAGAGATATTTTATCAGCCACCTATCTCCTTCAGCTGGACTGGTGATATAGAGGCTATAATGAATTGCTATTTAATATTATAAGAATTAATTGTACCAAAGCAGCAGGAGAATAATGACTGCCTTCATGGTTAAATATTTTACATTCGGCAACAAAACCGTGCAACTGAAAATATAAGGAATTTAACCTTTCATCCCTTATCTGAGCACTGAAAAATGTTGGTAACACAGTGAACTACAATATATTTGCTGTGTATTGTAATTTTAGTTGTTTGTAACTAAACAAAACCATTTATTTTATTTATTTATTGCTCTCTAATTGACCCTCCCACGCAGATGTCCTGTCGTATTGTCAAAATTTTAATCCATCAGATGGACTATATTTTCCTTACTGCTTTGGTCCATGATTGCAACCTTTACACCAATTTAAGTGCCCTTTTATGGATTTCACCTGCTAAATGATAACTGTGTGTTTTCCATCACTGTTTAACTACAGCAGCAACAGAACAACTGTGAAAATACTACTTGTGTGCTGTTGGAATGAATTAATTATCTGTATTTTCCTGCAACATAGTCAGGTTTTTTCATATCTCCTTAACCCTGTAAAGAATGCTAGAAGTAGATAAAACAAAAAACATAAATGTATTTCACATATTTTACTAATTTTCCATAAACATTGTGTGTTCTTCTTGATGAGAAAAGCTTGTGAATAAGACAAATGGCTTATTCCAGAACCTTGCTGAAGGTATGGATCCTGAAGATGGAGAGGGAGGTCTTTCTGCCTGAATCTGTGCAAGGATTATTATTCTAAGGTGCTGTTTTTCCAAGATGATTGGTCATGACTGTTTTTAAGCTTCCTTGAACAGTTTCTTGAACTGTTTTAAGCTGTAATTTGAACCCAGGGAGAGATTAAATATTTCCTAAAAATGTAGTGACAAGTAAGAATTCATGAAGATGCTTGAGAAATCCAAGTCTTATTTTCTCTGTTTACCTGTTGGCAGAAAGAATGCACATAAGGGATTTAGTAGATATTTGGTCAATCACTAAACTACCTCTGTCTCTTCTAGATGAAAGGTGAATATTTCTATAACCATAGATCTTCTCAGCTGCTCAAAATATCCAAACTGCAACTTTGCTCCTTCAGTCCTGCTTGGTTGATATGGGGCGAGAGGTGGACGTTGTCCCTATGAAGTTCTCCAAGGCTTTCCATTCAGTTTGCCCCAGCTTCCTCCTAGAGAAATCGATGTGTGACAATCTAGACAAGTGGTCTGTGGGATGGGTGGAAAGCTGCACCCAGAGAGGTATGATAAATAGCTCTTTTTCAAGCTGGCAACCCATCACAGGTGGACCCAAAGCTGTTGATTATCTTCATGAGTGATCTGGACAATGGGATCAAATGGTCCCTGTTGAAATCTGCTGGTGATTCCAAACTGAGTGGGGAAATGGATATTTTGGAAGGGAGAACCACTCTGCAGGAAGACCTGTATGGGCTGGAAGAGTGGATCAACAAGAACCTTATAAAGTACAACAAAGACAAACATAAGGCCTTGCACCTGGGAAAGCATAATCCAGGACTGCAGCACAGGCTGGGGTCTATGGAGAAGTGGAAGAGCTCTGTGGAAAGTGACCCAGGGGTCCTGGGGGAAATCAAATTCAGTGTGAGTGAACTGTGAACTCCTGTGGCAAAGAGAGCCAACGAGATGCTGCACTGCATCAGCAAAGGCATCATCTGCAGAGGGAAAAAAAGGCCATTATCTCACTCCACTCAGTGCTTGTCAGGCCACACCTGAAATACTGTGCTCAGTTTTAGTCCGTGATATTCGAGGAGGCTGGAGAGAGTCCAGACAAGGACCGTAAAGATGATCTAAGGACTAGAAAACCTGTCGTGTGGGGAAAGGCTGAGACAGATGGGTTTGTTCAGCCTTGGGAAAAGAAGGCTCAGGGGAGACCTTGTCACCATGTTCCAGTGGCTACAAAGAAGATGGAAACTCTTTTTGCGAGGAGTCACATGGAAAAGACAAGGGATAATGGGTACAAGTTACACCTGGCGAGGTTCCAGTTGAACACAGGAGGAAAATTTTTCGCAAGGAGAACAATCAACCATTGTAATAATCTTCTCCCCAGGGAAGTGGTGAATTCCCCAGCATGGACACTTTTAAGATCCAGTTGAACAGAGTGTTGTGCCATCTTCTCTAGGTCTTTCTTTGGCCATGGAAAGTTGGATCAGATGATCCCTGAGGTCCCTTCCAACCTGGTGTTTTATGATTCTGTGAATTCAGGCCAAACTCGAATCAGTTTTTCCAGATATTTTAAACATGTTAATTATACAAGCATAGACTCCCTAGTTTAGTGGGGGTTTTTTTGGTTGTTTTGTTGGGTTTTTTTTGTTTGTTTGTTTGTTTTTTAAACTAGGCTGTGTAGTATAAAGAATGTTTGTATTAGTAGTTTCAAGATTCATAATGTATCCTATTTCTGTGTTTACAGTATGTTGCAGAATGTCAAAAGATCTCATTTTATGCTTAGAATAAAAAAATTCTAGACTTGTCATAGCTATTATGCAGTGTAAAACAAAATCACTACAAAACAACTGCTAATTCTGTTGGCCTTTGATTGCTGTCAAGTCTTTTATAATTCTGTAATCTGACTGTGCTATGAATAAATAAGGGCAATTTACTTTGAACTGTAAAAGCTCAAGCTTTCTGGGTTTTGTTTTTATCCCTCTTAATTTTATTTTATTTTATTTTATTTATTTTATTTTATTTTATTTTATTTTATTTTATTTTATTTTATTTTATTTTATTTTATTTTTCCCACTTTCAGGGAACATCTACCTTTATCTAGAATCTCCAGAACCAGACTGTGTTTCCACATTTTCTCATTTCCATAGCTAAATGTTGCAGCAGTAGAGGAAGAAAAGTTCTCATCATTCTGATGAGAAAGGTTTTTTTTGTATCACCTGCAGCAGGAAATGTATTGGTCAAAATAAACTTCTTGCTACAGGGTTACAGTACATAGATTTTACAAAGCTATTTTGTAGGTGCAAATGAGAAGGTTTTTATTCTACAGGAATATTTACAGATAATTTGTTTTTCCTGTGTAGTTTTGTGGATACTGAATAGGTCAGGATTCCAGTAATGAGATAAACCTATGATAATGGGATGAAGGAATTTCCACTTTTAGGTCAGTAGTTTGAACGTAGTCTATCTAAGGATCATTTAAAAATCACTACAATTCAGTGACTGGATGATAATTCAGGACTTGGGAAATCAAAATTCAGTTATTCCTCTGCTAACAATTTCCTGCACTGCCTTGGGAAAGTAATGTATGGTGAGATTAATGGTGATATTTATCACTGAAGTACTTCCATGGATCTGATCCTTCATTTCTTTGCTTTTTAGCCTCCATCTGTTGAACATCCATATGCACTGTACATTTTCCGAAATAACCCTTTTTCTTTAGAAATGGAGATTGTCCACATGCTTTTATCACACTGCCTTTGGATGTTGAAGCAAGGAGCTAAGGAACTGAACATCTGTTTCAGAAAAGGTACGGTTCAGGCAGGATTAAATGACATATGTTTTTATAGCCCTTCCTAGGCTAAGTTGCTTTGCCAGTGGACTTGACCGGATCAAACTGCTGGTGAGTGTCCCACATTACACAGTTGTATCAGTGTCAGGAATCTTCATAGCAAACACCTGACATATCTTCCACACAGTGAAGCAATACTCTGGATCAAAAATTACCTGGGATCCCAGCTGTGAGCAGCTCACAGCTAATGCTGAAACTTCTGCTGGTTTCAGGACAGAAGGGAATCTAAGCCACTGTCCATTAATTAAATCTCTCACAGACACGTGAAGATGCAAAGACAGACAGAGGTTTTCTATTTACCTACCTTTGCAGCCCTAAATCTTTGTTCGCGAAACCTAACCATGACGACTTTTGCAGTTGCTTCATGTAAGCAATATCTACAGTTTCTCAAACTCCATACAAGTCAAAGAAAGGGAAAGGCACTCCATAACCTTTAATATAGTAAAGTAGGCAATAAATAAATAAACAAACAGGAAAAAATAATCAAGCCTATACATCTACTTTTGTAAGAATGTTCAGACTAAGTACTTTACAAATACTCATTAAGCCGCTCTTAATTACAGATATTATCCTCACACTGTGCCAAAAAAGCACTACCACTTTCAATTTAGAGCACAAAGTTATCTAATAAGTATTATTTGGAGGTAAAAACAAGAATTTGGCAATTTTGTATGAACCTTACTGTTCTCACACAACACAACCTATTGTGAGAGTTGATTTTGATATTGTAAACATCATTATTTACAAAAATATTATCTTATCTCTCCAAGTGCAGAGCACCTCGGTAGATATTCACCGAAGTCTGGCCTTTCTCTTAAGATATACACACAACTGCACAGAGAATATACCAAGTTTGAAGGGACCCATGAGGATCATCAAGTCCTTAGCCTTGCACAGGACCATCTCTAAGAGTCACACCATGTGCCTAAGAGTATGCTTCTTGATCTCTGTCAGGTTTGGTGCTCTGACCACTTCCCTGGGAAACCTGTTCCAGTAAACAACCATGCTCTGGGCAAAGAACCTCTTTCTAACATCCAACCTCTCCTGACACAACTTCAGGCCATTCCCTGGGGTTCTGTCACTGGTCACCACAGAGAAGAGATCAGTATCTGTCCCTCCTCTTGCCCTTATGAGGAGGTTGTAACTGCCATGAGGTCTCCTCTCAGTGTCCTCTTCTCAAGGCTGAACACACCAGGTGGCATCAGCTGCTCCTCATAAGACTTCCCCTCAAGGTCCTTCACCATCTTTGTTACCCTCCTTTAGACACCCTCTAATAGCTTAATATCTTTCTTCTATTGTGGCACCCCAAACTGCACACTATATTCAAGGTGAGGCTGCCCCAGTGCAGAGCAGAGCGGGACAATCCCCTTCCTCGACCGGCTGGTGATGCTTTGTCTGATGCCCCCCAGGACAGGGTTGTCCCTCCTGGCTGCCAGGGCACTGCTGACTCACATTCAACTGGCCATTGACCAGGACTCCCAGGTCCCTTTCCTGGCACTGCTTTCCAGCATCTCATTCCCCAGTCTGCATGTATATCCAGGGTTATCCCATCCCATGTGCAGAATCCAGCACCTTCCCCTTCTTGAAATTCCTATTGCTGGTAGTGGTTGAGTCTTCTAATTTTTCGAGGTGTCTCTGCAGGGCCTCCCTGCCTTTGACAGAGCCAGCTGCTCAACCAAATTTTGTGTCATCTGAAAGACTCAGTGTTAAGAAAAAGTCGTGTCTCTAATCAGCAGCAGTAAATGAGCATTTTAAATGTTCTATCACTCACTTTTCAAAAACAGCATTATAGCTTCAGTTTTCCCCCTTTGAACCTGTATAATATGTGACTGATCACACCAGATGCTAATTCTTTTTCAAGTATTCAGGTGAGTTCTGTGCCTGATATTCAGATTGCTTTATGAAGATTCCAGGTAGTCCTTTATAAAAGGAAGAAGAGCTTAATCATAGCGTGATTCTCAACCAGTGGTAAGTTCTTTTTGATCCTGTAATCCTTTATGTGTTGAACTGGAATTTTAGAATAACCCACATTTAACAAACTAAGAGTACTGAGCAGGAGATCCTATAGAGGACATTATAAAAAGAAAAGATAAGATAGCCTCATATGACCTAAGAATATCTATAGAACTAAATATTTTCTGCCTTTGCCAAAGGAAAATAGTACACAGTACATCTGATAGACAGCAACATTACTGTTATTTATGTTTGCTGTTACATTTGGAGTCATGTGTCCATTGTGCCCAAACTTCTGTCTATACTCACACCAAGAGGATGGCCCATCTCCTAGGTAACTTTCAGACTAGGTAGGAAGCCAGGAGCCAGAGAGACATATTCCCTGACTTCTAGTTTCCAAGGTAACATTGCTGTATCATCAGCATAGTAGGCAGTTGCCAGTTTGATAGTCTAATTGTTGTCAGCTATTATTGTACTGATATTATTATTAAAATGAGATTTCATTCCCATTTCCTGAAGAACACATGAAAAATCTGTTATTTATTTTCTTAAGAACTGGGAAAATGGCCTTTGCATAGTATCAGTAAAGCAAATGCAGTGATACAAATGATTTATTGTAATGAAGCAGGTTATTGGATTACCAGGTCTATACTGATCTTACAAAAAAAGTTAGAAAGTATTACTTAAAAATCACTGCTCCCCTACATGTTATATTCAATTTAGTCACTAGGACACAGTCTTCAAGTCCACATCAGGATGTCAACTTGTCCATAAGTCAAACACACTCGAAACTGGCAGTTTGTGTTGTTTTCAAAATGTCATCAGTGTGATCTGTTTCACAAAGCACATATTCATGGAGCTTTGAAGTCAGCATTAGTGATTATTTCTGTGTGTATCAGGTTTGAATCCGAAAGAAAGGAATATGGGTCTTATAAGGACCAAAAGTTTGAAGTTGCAGAATATCTGTTTTGAACAACCATGACTTAGTCTTCAGAGTGTTTGGATGTGTTAAGAGCTTGTTCAATGGAGGTACAAAAATGCCTTAACAAAAGTAGCTAGTGAATAACGAATTATATTGTAAATATTGTTCATATTTGGTATGGGATCAGAATACTGGAGGAAAAAAAGGACTGGGGACTTTATTAAATCCAAGATGAGAAGCTGTACCTCATTCACTCCCTTCAGCAAGACAGTGAATAAAGAGTATTTTCTCTGTCAGTCTCTCCACAGTGAAATTTCCAAATATCTCCAGGTTGCTAATTCTGTATCAGATGATTCTGGATAGCATCCACTGCCTGCCCTTCACCTGGAAGGGGAAGCTTCCAGACAAATGTTGCAACCAGCAAGGAAGCTGGGGAAGATGTAACAAATAACTGAAGTGGAAGTAAGTGGATTAACACAGGAGATGGTAGGTGCTACCAATGCTGTCATGCAAAGTGTCCTAGAATAGGTCTGTTCATAAGATCAATTAAGACAATCATGAAGGGTGTGTACAATATAATTACTAAATCCTTATTACTCATGAGAACAGGCTCACAAGTAAATATGATGTCCAGCCTGGAGAGTTTTTATAAAGTTAGTACGAAAGCAGCTTCAGCATACTCTCACTTGCAAATCTAAGAAAAAGGATCATTGCACCGAGTGCCAAAAACTTTGCAATGTCTTTGATAGGGTCAAAATTGGATTGAAATCTCAGTCAAAAACCCAGAAAAGTATCTCTGAAGTCCTTTGGTAGGAACAGTGTTATTTGAATGGCAAAATGATATTAGAACCAATACTAAAACCACTCTGATTCCATCACAGATCTCTGTTAATAATCATCCTTACTGGTTATGTGAATTGCTTTCCCTCTCTGAACACAACATAAAAGTGAACTCCCTCTAGGTCTAGTTAGAAAAACATTCTGAGTCTATGCAATCCTCTGTAGCCATACAGAGTTTTATGTATAAAGGCTATTAAAGTGTTTAGCTTTCATGGAAGGTTTTCACAGCATTTACAACTGTGTGTTTTGTTCCTTTGGCCCTGTCTTAAATTTAAATGTCTTGCTTGAGATGTTAGATTAACTTCTGAAAATACAGTACAAACTCACCTACTTTCTACCTCAACCCCGATCTAGCAATTTTTTTGTAGAAGTGAGGT